CCAGAAATGGTGGGAGAGAACTTCAGATAGGCAGCCTGGTGGTGAAGGATGGGTGAGAGGTAAAAGCAGTGTGGACAGAGTTAATTTGTGACTTGGATTGCATGCTCCCTCCAGGCAGGGTAGGTTTCAGTGTAAGGATCCAGAGAGGGCATGGTTTGGAGAAAATGGGTAGGAATGGCCCAGGAACAAGTTGTCAGTGGTTGACTGTGATGGCCTCTGTTCTCTTTCTCCTACTTCAATTGAGGCAACCTGGAACTGCACCCAGAACTTCTGGGAAGAGATAGTCTAACCTTTCTAGCCAGGCCCCTGGGAGAGTGCTGTGCTAAAGACAATTGTGAGACGCTGGCTTTCTGAGATGGTCAATGCCAAGGTGCAGATCTTCAAGGTGCAGGGAAGATCCAGAGCCAGAGAGGAGGAGGAGGAGGATCCAAGAGAAAGATGGTAAGAGAGTCAAGGAGACCCTGTGGCCATCTCTCCAGTCAAAGGACAAAGGAGACAAAAGTGGTTGGAAGCAGAAAGAGGTGTTGGATGTGCAGGACTGTCACCAGTCATCCAGGTGACTTCTATAGTTTAACAATGGGATTCATCACCTGGGGTATATAGTTGGATTACAGCTGTCTCAAAATATCCTGCTGTTGAAAGCAAAGTTTCTTGTGTCTGGGTATCTTTCTGAGGAGAGTTTTCGTAACAGTGATCAGTTTTTTTTTCTTTCTTTTTTGTTTTTCTGCTGTTGGCAGTGGTTTTTTATTCTTTTTTTTTTTTTTCCTTGCTGATATTGGGGATTGAACTAAGGGCCTTATGCTCAATCACTCTAGAAATTAAGCCATACTCCCAGTTCTTTTGCTTTTTGGTTTGTTTTTCGAAGTGTCTCAAGCTTTTGCCCAGGCTTGCTTGGAACCTCAATCTTCCTACCTCAACCTCCAGAGCAACTGGAATTACAGGCGTGTCTCACCATGCCCTGTTTCCTATCAGATTTTCTAAGAGGGTCTTTGAACCATAAAGAGCCTCACCAAGGCTCACTGCTGACATGCTTGGAGGGAGATAATTCTAAAAGAAGCAACTCTTTTACTGAATCATTTCTCAGGTAAACTAATCACATTCTGTGGAAAGGACAGCATGGACATGACACTGCTATAGGGAGAGGGGCCATTTCTTCACCTTTCCGTTTAGTAAATATATTTAGCACCTGATCATGTTAGGTTCTATTTGACTCTGATACAATACTGAACAAAACAGAGAAAAAAATTCTTGCTAAGGGCAATAGAGAAAGAGTAAATGGGGGGGGTTTAATCTGATTAAATATATGCATGTCTGAAATGTCAAAGCAAAACCATCCAGAACTATTCTAATATACTCTTTTTAAAAAATGAAGGACAGGAAGGTAAAACAGGTCCTTTCTGGGGATGGGTACTAGTGGGAGGGGAAGGGCCTAAGGAATGGGTGAATGAGGGTGAACATGGTGGATATATTTTGTGTCCATGTATAAAAACAAAACAATGAAATCTGTTGAAATAGTTCTAAAAAGGGGAGAGGAAGGGGAGCATGAGGGAGAACAATGGAGGAGGTAAATCTAATTAAGATATATTATAAGCACATATGTAAATATCACAATGTATCTCCCTGTACAACTATTATGTGCTAATTTCAAACAACTCCTGCTAAGTAGATTAAAGCTTCATTCTAGAGAGGAGAGGCTAGAATGAACCCCCCAAAATAAGTAAATTATTTAGCAAATTAGAAGGGAAATGAAGAACAGAGGGATGAGGAGGGGTGGGTGGGGAGAGAAGGCTGACTGAGGTGATCTCTAAGTGAAGAGATCCTCTTGTCACACAGCCAGGACAAGAGGATTCTGGGTAGAGGGAACAAGGCAAGGGTTCTGATGCAGGAGCAAGCCTAGGGTGTTTGAGGAGGCTGATGGTGCTGGAGTGAAATGAACATGGAAGAAGGTTCTAGAAAACAAGGACATAGAGGAAATGGGGGGTGCGTTCAATACGTCAGTATAACTTTTACTCTGAGTGAGAAAGGAAGCTATTGCCAAATGACAAGTGTGGAGCAGAGAAGGGTCTTTAGGCACCGGTTTAGCAGGCTCACCCTTAGCGGAGGGAGAACAGCACAAAAAGCAGGGACAAGAGCCTGGAGTTAAGTCGAGAGGCCATTGCTGTAATCTGGACAAGGAAGGATTCCATCTCAACCAGAATAGCGGTAGTGAAAGCAGTGAGAAGTGGGCAGGCTCTGGGTAGGAAAAGCCTCAGAAAGCTGCATGAAGGGCTGAAAAGAGGCAGCAGCAAGGAGCATCAGTGATTTCCCAGTATTCAGGAGACATGTCCTGTTGGTCCAGGGGTGCATTATGCCTCTGAGTGGTAGGAGTAGAATTGTGCAAAGGACCCCTGGCCCTACCCCTCACCAGCTAGCCTCCTTGGATGGCACATCTGGTCCCTCAGATCTGAGGTTCCCTGACTTACAAATTAGAAGAGCAAACATCTTATTTGCTCAATGGCCTGAGACAGAGCTCTGCTGTATTAAAATGTCTTGTTATTCTGAGATCTATGGTTTTGGTTCAATGAGTGTCTAAAAAACCTGAACATGCCACATCAGAAACAACACTGTTCTTTGAATGAACACGCAGTGTTTACTCTGATCTCCCCTCCCCTGGACTTTCCACTGCCTATAGGATTTGTGCTTGATTTGCTTTGCAGGCTGGCGGCTTTAGGATGGACTGAGAGAGAAATCCCCTATGTACCAGGACACACTGCACTAGTTCACCAGGACAAGGCTCAGCTGAGCATCACAGAAGGCACAGATCCTGGTTAAAATACATTGGCAGCATTTTAACTCAGAGCAGGTGCATAGTTAGGCACCATCTACTACCCTCGTCAATGTAGACAGCCTAAGTTTCTGCACTGGAAAAGCAGAATGTCAACAGCGTTCACTATCTTAAAATCTAAGGCAATAAAGAAGACCATGGCTAAGACTACGCAGGCTGAAACAGCGTAGAGTTAGGCTTTAATAAATTAAAAAATCCCTCGTCTTGGCCCAATCAGGACAATTAAAACTTGGATTCAGGGTTGGAGAAATGGTTAATAAAACTATGTAAATTTCTATAATAGGATACAGATGTTAAGGATGGCTGTAGCAGGCACTCAGGAGTTTGGTTGTCCCATTCAGGTCATTCCTATTCTCAAAGCTCTTGCTGGTGGGTCACAGGCCACAGCTGGCCTGGTCCCCAGGTCCTGGGCCTGTGGATGGACTCCTGACCTCAGCTGAGCCAGGTAGTTTCTTTTCAGAAGTTTAGAATGGGCTGCGCACTTGTGGGAGATACCCAGGACAGCTGGGGCTGGCCCGGGAACCTGGAGAGCAAGTGTAGGCACAAGGGGACTGCTGACTAGATGAGAACAGATATGTGTACAGAGAAAAGCAGAATGACAAACTGAGTGGTCCCAGAGAAACTCACGGGAGAAGCTCCATGTCTCGGCTCCTGTCCCTTGTGAGCCCCCTCACCCACAAACCCCCAGCAGTTCCTAACTTTTGATCTCCCTCTCTCTCCTTTCTTCCCCCAACCCCCTTTTTTTTTAATAGAAGTTACTGAGGTTTAAGCTCAGGGCCTTGAAATCTGCTATGCAAGTGCTCTGTTACTTGAGCCATGCGCCTAGTCCTTTTGTTTTGAGTTTATTTTTCGGATAGGGTATTGCATTTTTGCTCAGGCCACAATGCTACCTCTGCCTCCCATGTAGCTGGGTTTATAGGTACACACCACCACATCTGGCCCATGTCTTTGGTTTCTTTGAGTAGCTCCTGCATCTATTCAGTAAATTCCACTTTGTTACTTAAGATCATTGGTTATTATTTCTATCCCTTGTAACCAAATAATCCCTGAAATGTATCAATTAAATTCCATAGCAACATGGAGAAATTCTTAACTTATAAATTCTTAAAGTTATAAAATATAAATTGCATATATTCTGTTTATCATTCTGGAAAATGTATGTGTATATGAACCTTAGATGGAAAAAAATGACATAAAAATAGCTCTGATGATTAAGGGGGTACTTTTTCAAATTTCCATAAAATTATTGTGGTATCATAATTTTTAAAAGAAGCTATTGGGAAATCAAATCAATATTTAATATTTAAACCATGAAAGCTTCCATAAATGATTTCTAAACTAAGAGGCAGCAAAATCAATAAATAATTATATATTTATACAGTTATCCTAGAGTTGACACAAGTCAGTGTGTTCCTAAAAAGTTGGAAACTTTTACATATCAGTGTGTGGAACTCATACACAACAGTTCTTTCACATTTTTACAAAATGAGGAGAGCATAGTAGATTCATGGGTTTGCTGATTTCAGACTGTTTTTTGCATCAGTTTTTGTTCTTGTTTAGGGGTTTTTTTTTTTCAGTTGGGACCCTACTGTAGTGTAGAAGTATCACTAAGATTCCCAGAGAGCTCATACATGTGAGCCATATAACCCAGAAGAGTTCAATGCAGAATTTTCCATACACCTGGAAGACTTCCCCGTCTGACCACCCCTCTTCTGGAGAGTAGCCTTATTTCCTTATACTGAGCAGCCTAAGTTATAGCTCTTGCCACCACCCTCTCAGGCTCCACAAGTCCCTTAATCAGGCAGACCCATAGTGCTACATGAGTGAATCCTGCCAGGAACCCAGGGGCAGCTGGGTTCACTTCACGGGTGAGAGTGCTTTGTCCAGAACGGAGAAGGGATGTCACACTCCTTTGCTGACCAGTGCGAAGGACTTGCCATCCCTCCATTTCGATCTGGAGTTGCCTCTTTGAGATGACCCAGGAGGAAAGCCAGAAGTCTGAACCCTCCTTCCCTCTACACTCAACAGTGAACTTGCCCATGACCATGGTCTCAGAGTTGTTCTCCTATTGTTTTCCCTGAACACTGTTCAAGAAGGGATCATGTCTGGAGCTATTTCCTCCTCATCCCCGAGATGTCACAGACACCTGCCCAGGAAGGCCTGCAAGGGTCCTTACCTCCAGAGGGTGTGCCAGCGACTCTCCTGAGGAATTTAACCCACTCTTCCATCTCCGCCTGAGAGCTGGCCATGAGGACATAGGAGTCCTGGCCCATGCGATTCTGGTCCCATGAGACTGAAAGAAAGAGTAACATATATGAAGATCTTAGAGTGGTAGGGGGCCCAGAGCAAGGGGAAGGGAAGGGAGGCCGATGCTGATTGATCCTTTGGTTTGATGAAGCACTGCCAGTCAAGTGATACAGTCTGTTTAATTATCTGCAATAGAACTGGATCTCCGAGCACTCTTGTGGTTTTTGCTAAAACTCTGATTCTACAGACATATCACAGAACACAATGGTTTGCAACTGCGATGACTTTGGTTGACAGCTGCTTTCATGGGGACAGAAGCCATCTCCTACCCAAAGAATGAGGAAGTACCTAGGGAAAGTTCAGCACGAGCAGAGATAGGACCAGACCATGCAAGTTTGAAGGCTTTAGGTCATCGAGCCAACTGTGGACACTTTGTTAAGTCAGTCCTGAGCTCAGCTGTGGAAATTTGAAAGAGGTCAGCACCCTCAGGTGAGAGGGACAGTGAGCACAAGTGTGCCTTTCTCATAAAACTTCCTGTTCATATAACTATTCTCCTGACCATCCAAATGGTAGGTTTTAAATATTTAGTTAGTGGACACGTGAAGCTTGTTAGGACTTTGTTTTCCATTTTTGTTTTAAACCTAAGTTATAGACCTATGTAGTATTTTCTAGGTAGTCCATTTTCTCAAATGGACAGAAAGATGAAGGAAATGATGAGGGAGTAGAGGTGGCAAAACAAACAATGAGGGAAAGTGATCAAAAAAAGGAAAATTGGGGGAGAAAAGTAAGAGAAGGAAAGGCAAAAGGTCACACACAGATCTTAGGACATGTAGTTAGTAGTGGAACTGGGACTAGAACTGTAACATCTTTCATGGGCCTCCTTGCAAGGGAGGTCTGCAAAGTTGGAGCTTTCTTTAGTTGGTAAGAAACAAAAAGGTCTTAAGAGGGACAAGAAAATAATTTCAATTATATGATGCTATTAAGTTTCAATGGGTCAATAGAAACATCAACCCATTCTTCCTATACTGTCAGAAAGAGCCCATTCCAACTGCCATGTGGGGCCCAAACCTGCTATTCTGCAGGGCATCAAAAACTTCCCAGTCCCCTTTGGTTCTGGTCTCTTGAACTTAGCTTAATATGACCTTTTTTCATCCTGTAATAAAAGCTTATTCTAAATTCATCTTGTCAGCTCTTCTGACTAAAAAGGTGAGTCTATGAAAAGCCTGGCCATTCAGGAAAATTCTGAGAACTGAGCATTTCTGGGAAGTAAAACAGTGCTCAGGGAAAAACCAAAAGATCCCTTTAGAAGAGAATGGGGAGCTATATGATTTCCAGTTTACAGTTAATAGAACTGAAGCCCTCACATGCAAGGATAGCTCACCATTGGTACACAGCAAGTTACTGACAAACTCAAGGCAAGGTCTCATTCCTCCTAATAGAGGTTCCAAATTTGACCTTGTGCAAAATTTATCTGGTATTCTTCCCTGCCATGTGTATACTTCAGTCTACTACTTTCTCAAAGCATGCCTTCTCAGTTCACTGATTCCTACGAGAACCTTTGGTTTTGCCATGAGCTACCCCACTGGAAACAATTCCTTCCTCATCACCATCTCCCATTTGCATTATTACAAGAGTCTCCCCATTGGTCTCCCTGCTCTGCCTTTGCCCCCATTACTTTCATTGTATTCTCCACTCAAACAAATTTTAAAACATGAGTCATACCATGTTATTCCTATGCTTAGAACCTCCCAATAGCTTTCCATCCTTCTACCATAAAAGCTGAATTTCTTATACCTGCCTATGAGTGCCTATCTAATCTGTGCCCACTCCTGATCGAATTTCCCACTCTTGTCATCAGTCCATTCTAAGAACACTGGCTTCCTTAATATTATTTAAACTTGTGAAATAGGCTCAGAGACTTTTCACTGGCTGTTCCCCTTCTCACTCTTTCAGCACCTTTAGATATTTGCCCAGATGCTACATTCTCAATAACACATATTTTGCCGGCTCTGTTATAAATGACAAAGCAACTACAACCATCCCCATCTCAGCCAGAATTTTCTCTTTCTGCTTTGTTTTTCCAAAGTACTTATGTCATCACAAAACTATATGAATTACTTATTTATTTGCTTTGTTTCTATTAGATGGTGAGTTGCGTGCAGGCTTTGTTTTTTGCTGGAGCTCCAGTCCTCCAGTGCCTGCCTCTACCAGATGCTCAATACATTTGTTGTTGAATGAATGACAGCATCTCATAAAGTGGTATGAGAGCTAAAGGAGATAATGTATGCTACAGAAGGAACAACTCCTATCCCTGGTGGGGACAGGAGAGCAGAACAGTTATCCTGCTATACATCATTAGGGAGAGGAAAGCTTACCCTAAAGAGTTGCAATTAACTGTCCCAGCGGGAGAAGCCTCTGTAGCTTGGTAACACTGGCAGAAGTTGAGGGCAGGGAGTGTGAGAAATTTATGTGTTGTTTGTTTGTTGCAATTTTTCTGTAAACCTAAAATGTTTTCAGATTAAACTGAGGGCTGGGAGGAAAAAAAAAAGAGTTGCAATTAAAGACTTCTATCTGAACTCTGTACAACTAAAACTGGTGATGATAGAGAGAGGACCCTGATTAGGATCCTGGTTTCTATGCCAGCATTGGCCCCTGAGAATCACCTTGCACAAGGAGGACAATGAGAGGAACTGAAAAGTCTTGACATCATAACATAGAAGAGTGTCTCACTTCACCTTGCGGGAGACTTGAGAGACAGTGGTGCCTGCATTGCTTTAGAATCATTTCTTCTTATGAGATGTGTGTGTGTGTGTGTGTGTGTGTATGATGTGTATGAGAGAGAAAGAGAGGGAGAGAGAGAGAAACTGAGACACCGAGACTCTAAGGAGATCCCCCCAGTAGTCCAGGCAACTGCTGTGAGAATGAGTGGTAGTGAGAGCAGATCTTCCTCCAATCCTGGCAGAGCAGCCTAGGGCAGTGGACTTTTGGTGCAAAGCCCACAGTGAATTTTTACATGGCGTTCTTGGTAGGATTTCCTGGATAGAAACCTCAGGCTTTGGGACGTGTGTTACCATGAATGGTTATATCCCATGAATTGCATTGGGCGAGAGATCCTAGGAACAGAATTCTTTTTTTTTTTTTTTTTTGGACTCAATAAAACTTTATTTACAAAAACAGGGCAGGCCAGCTATGCCCTACAGGCTATAGTTTGCCAATGCCTGGCCTCAGTAAATCCTGTCTCTGTGTCCCAAACCTTGTTGCACTACGAGAGGCTGAAAGAAGACTTAAAAGCCTAGGTCAGCCAGCTCATGAGTTTTCATTGAGGAACAGAATTCTTATGGGAAAGGGGTGAGACTTTCCTAGAGAGGGAGGCAAGATTCTAAGGAGGAAGAAGGGAGCCTAGACCATCAGGTAAAAAAAAATCAAGGAAGTGCCCAATAGGAAACCACCTGGGGTCTTAAGAATTTTTACTTTGTTTTCTCTAATTAGTCCTAGACAGTTTTAGGATTTTTCTCTGCATTATAATTCCCTCTAGTTATCCCACAAATATCAAACACTTATATGATATGTACTATATACCAGGCATGGTCCCAAGTATTTGTATAGATTTCTCTATTTAATCCTTCTATCATCATTGTCCCCATTTTACAGATAAAGAAAAAGTCAGGGAGAAATAGGAAGTGGCAGGGTCAGAAGTTGGATGTAGGCAGGCTGGCTCTAGATTGGGTGCCTCTACAATCCTCTGCTAGTCTGCCCTCTCCATCAACATCCAGCTACTTTGTGAAGGTCTCAGGAACTTGTGACCTTCCCTACTGTGATCAGTAAGGTGGTAGTGGCAAGACAGCATGGCTAAATCAGCAACCCTGAGGTTCCTGACAGGGCTAGGGCTGGCATCTGAGCAAGAGAAGGGCAGACAGGGAGAAGTAGCCCCAGGGTGGCAAATTCAGGAGCATGATCCAAACTCCCCTCAGAGGAAGGTAACTTTTTTGGCAGTGTTGGGGTTTGAACTCAGGACTTCACACTTGCTAGGCAGATTCCCTACCACTTGAGCCACAACTCCAGCCTGGAAGATAACTTTCAGTTGGAAAGGGGCACCCTCTAGCGTGAAGTTATGTATGCAATAGGTGACACAGAGCACCTGGCACATGCTAAGTGCATCACAAGTCCACACTGTCATTTCTCTTTAGTTCCGGTTGAAGCCCATGAGAGTGCTGGCTTTCCACTATTTTTAACCCACTCAAGTGGCAAAGTCCCATTTTTCAATTTATATTCTAACTGTTAATGTTCTGCTCAATTCTAGACTGAGCTCCTTTGAGTGAGTCAGACTTTTCCTGTACCTGGTACAGTACCTAACTCTAAGCATGTACTCATGAATGCTTTTAGAGTTAAACCAAATGAACACCTACTTAGTTCAGGCCCAAGCTGCTAGTTAATCAACTAGAATATATGCAGAACCACTATGTGTTCTTTACAGGTTTATTGGTTAGTAGATTGAAGGACTCAACTGATTCTAACCTTGACTTCTAGGATCTAGATGTAAAATGGAAATTTAATACACCTCTGTCCCTCCTTTTGGCACCTACCTGGAATAACTTCAAAGACAAACTTCCCAGCTTCTTCTGGGTTTGTGGCAATCTCTTTGATTGTACTTCCTGGTAGATACACGCAGCCCTAAAAGATCAAAAGTCAGGTCTTTCAGATAAGCAGCAATTTTATCCTATAAACCCAAATTAAGTTGGAGAACAGACTGGGTAATAATGATGGTGTTATGAGAGAGTAGGTGGAACCAGACATGGAAAGTTAGTATACTAGTTTTAATACCCGCTTTCTGGTATTTGGACCTTGGTCAAATTAAATAGTGACTATCTGAGAGCAAGGTGGGTTCCTAGAGAGAAAAGGACAAGCCCCTGACAGGAAAATGAGCTGAGAGGGCACATCACCAACACTTGCCAACTTTCCCAGACATAACTTCATGGCCAAACTAGACTCTACCTCTGTGAAGACGATGCTGAAACTGGAGGGACCATTCTACTTGCTCAGTGGCCAGAGTAGGGATAGTTAGGACTGTGCCACAGGTAATCATCTGAGGAGTCACCATAGGTAACAGTAGCAAAAGCTCCTGAGCTGCGTTGCCCAGGTGCCTGCCTCTTTGTTAACCACCTTGAGCAGGGTGTCACACTTGGCAAGAGAGAAAACCGAGGATCAGAAAGGTTCTACAAATTGTCCTCACAGAGCTAGCAAATGGCAGAATGGTGCTCCTCACCATCACGCTTGAGGTTGTGGTGAATAACCATCTTAACCCACCACCTCCACCTCTGATCCACGGGGGACAGGGGGCAGGAAGGGAGGGTTCAATAGGCTATGTGACCTCCTTCACACAGATACCACATCAGAAAACCCAAGTCACTCCCACCATCCCACCATGAGTAAGCTTATCACGTGCAGTATCTCTCTAGATCCCAACAACAGCTCCACAGCAAGGGCATGACCACATTTATCACTTTCTTTACAGGTGAGGAAAATGGAACTTGGAAAGTCTAAATGACCACTCTAAATGATGTTAAAAGTCATTCATTTTACTAAAGTTAGTTACTTGTCATTTACATCTTGCTGGATGTTGAAGGTAGGACATCTGATTCTAAGCTGAGGACACATGTGCCTTTATTCTGAGCAAAGTCTGAATGAGGAAGATTGGAAACAAAAAGCTATGAAGGAAAAGAGTCTTAAGAAAATCTCAGATCCACTCAGAAATCTAAAAAGAATGAATGTTTCTTGGGAGTCTAGAAATAAGATTGTCTGAGGCTGAGTGAGAAAAGAGGCAGAGAAGGAGAAGGACAAGGGGCAAAAATAGGAAGATTATGAAGATAAGAAGGAAGAAGAGAAGAAAAATAAAAGAATATCTCTCTATCAAATGGAATTCTGCAATTCTTCAATATCTTCTAATTTTCTTCAATTTCTTATAACAAATAACTCCACCCCCATGATCCTCACCATCTTTTGTAAATCACATCAATGCCTTGAGAAAAAGTAGCACTGAGTTACTTTGAATGATGGCACCAGAAGAAAGTGCCATGTTACTTTTAGACAGGAAGGTATGCCATTAGGAAGGGAAAGAAAGTCGAGTTCAGAGGCACATGCCTCCGCTAAGTAACTCTCTCAACTGTCATTTGAAACCCAAAATAATTTCATCAGAAAATAGTAAAAATAAAGTGCTAAATATATAAATTTTCCATTTATTGAGTAGTTATTAGGTATCAGATTCTGTGCTGATTTCCCTGAATATATTAGCACATCTGATCTTCATAAGAAATCTACCACCCATAATAACATCAAAAAAATTAAAATGTCTAGAAGTAAATTTAGTGAAGGAAGTAAAAGACCTATATGACAAAAATTATAAATCACTGAAGCAAGAAATCATTGAAGACATTAGAAGATGGAAGGATGTCCCATGCTCATTGATCAGCAGAATAAATATCATGAAAATAGTTATACTACTGAAAGCAATCTATATGTTCAAGGCAATCCCCATCAAAATTCTAATGGCCTTCCTCACAGAAACTGAAAAATCAATCCTAAAGTTCATCTGGAAGCACAAAAGACCTCAAATAGACAAAGCAATCCTGAGCAAAAAAAGCAATGTGAGAGGTATCACAATACCTGACTTCAAACTATACTATAAGGCCATGCTAATAAAAACAGCATGGTAATGGCACAAAAACAGACATGAAGACCAGTGGAACAGAATAGAGGACCCAGACACAAATCCACACAGCTATAGCCATTTAATTTTTATTTTTGACAAAGGAGTCCAAAGCATGCATTGGAGAAAAGACAGACTCTTCAAGAAATGGTGATGGGAAAGTTGGATACACACTTGTTGAGGGTTGAAATTAGATCCCAGTCTCTTATCTTGTACTAGTTTCAAGTCAAAGTGGATCAAAGATTTTAATGTAAGACCTGACCAGAAACTGTGAAACTAGTAAAGGGAAGAATAGAGAGTACTCTGGCATATACAGGCATAGGCAGTAACTTTCTGAATAGAATTCCAATAGCTCAGCAGTTCAGAGAAAGGATTGACAAATGGGACTGCATCAAACCAAAAAACTTCTGCACAGCAAAGGAAATAGTCATTAGACTGAAAAGACAACTTAGAGAATGGGAGAAAAATTGTTGTCAGCTATACATCTAACAAGGGATTAATAATAAGAATCTACAGGGAGCTCAAAACACTAACCCCACAAAGAATCAACAGCCCATTGAATAAATAGGCAAATGAATTGAACAGACAATTCTCCAAATTAGTACAAATGACCAATAAATACACTGATTTGCATTTTCTTGGCTATAAAGGAAATGCAAATCAAAACAACATTGAGATTTCACATCACTCCAATCACAATGACTATCATCAAAAACACAAACAACAAAATGCTGGTGATGATGTTGGGATGGAGACAGGGATCCTTATACACTGTTAGTGGGAATGTAAATTAGTGCCATAGAAAGCAATAGGGAGATTCCTCAAACAACTAAAAATAGAACTGCCATATGATGCAGCATATACCCAAAAGAATGTGATCCAGGATACAGTAGAGCCACTTGCACACCCATATTTATTGCAACACTATTCACAGTAGCCAAGCTTTGGAAACAACCCAGATGCCCTACAACTGATGAGTGAATTAAGAAAATGTGGTATATATATACAATGGAGTATTATTCAGCCATAAAGAAGAATGAAATTATGTTGTTTGCAGGTAAATGGATAGAATCTCTGGATGGATCATCATGTTAAGCAAAATAAGCTAGTCATGAAAGGACAAAGGTCACATGTTTTCCTTCACATGTGGAAGCTAGACCTATAAGATAAATACATACATAAATACATACACGATCTTATTCACACACACACATATATACAGAACATGATTGCAATAGTGGGTCTGTCTGAGATTATAGGGAGGCCAGGGAAGAAAAGAAAATGATAGAGAATGAATAATATTGAAACAATGCATCTGTGTACGCAGATAGTGTAACAAAACACACGTAAGCTGTTGAACAATAGGGAAGCAGGACGATAGAGAAAGAGTAAGTAATAGGGAGAGTTAATCAAAGTAAAGAGCGATATTTGCATGTGTGAAATACCTTGAACAATCCACATGCACATTAAAAAAATGAAGGACAGGAATGTAAGGCAGGTCTTGTCCAGGGATGGTACTAGTGGGAGGGGGGAGAGTAAATGGAAAGGATTAAAGAGAGAGAACATGGTCAATGTGCTTTGTATGCTTATATGAAAACTGTTGAAATTGATCTAAGAAAAGAGAAAGGATGAGGGAGAATGATGGAAAGGGGTGAATTTAATTAAGATACAGTGTAAGCACATATGTAAACTTCACAGTGAATCTCCCCTATATAATACATGCTAATTAATGAATAGATAGTTTAAGATATCTGTGAGGAAGGACTAATGTTTTTCTCTGCCCAAGAGATGAGGAAATCAAGTTTAGAGAGATTAATAAAATAATCCAAGATCACAAGCTAGTTAATAGGAAAGTTATGATTCAAACCTTGGTCAGTGATTCCAGAATTACAAATAAGGCTACTTGCTGAAAGAAGTAACAATCATAATTCAACTTATTCATATAAGGCGTAAGTTACTAATTGCAAGTGCAGTCCTCACACTGAGCACGAGACTCTTGGACATCATGAATGGATAGAGGAAGGTAAACTAGGGGAAGAGACACCAGTCAGGGTTAGGGTAGAGACTCTGATGAGGAAGGAAGTGTGCCAGAAAGGGAAGGGCTCAAGTTGCCCATAACCACTTTCACCTACTTTGCAAGTTGACGCAGGTCAACTTAAAGATGGGGAAAGGCTTTGCAGAGGGCACACTTTCCACAACAGTAAGACAGAGGAGGCAGATGTAGCAATGATATGCTACATACAGTCAGATTATGTTGCTTCATGAGAACTGACTGTGGCGTTTTCAAGAACTCAAGGAGTCAGCTGCTAAACACAGCTATTATATATACCTCTGATGGAATATTTTGTATCAAAAAAGATAATGTTACTCAAAATTTATCACTTCCTTTTTATTTGCTGTATTTTACTATTATTTTGATTATTGTGATTACGTATATTTTATCTTTGTAACGTTGTGCTAGTACACATCTCTTTTCAACTCTGAGTTCAGTGATACCGTGTTGGTAGTTTGAACCAATAATGAAGAGAATATTTACACCACAGAAATTGACAAACACTGCACACAAATCAACTCCTCCACTAAAGAGCCTGCTGTTAAACATTTATCAGCACACCACTGGCAGAAAACTATACATTAGGTTAAATTCCTGTAATTAGAAATGTGAGTCAAAGGGTTTATATTTTTAATAGACCTAATACCCTCCATGAAGTTTGCATGTACTTTCACATCCACAAGCTGTGCATGAGAATTCCTGTTTCGTAGCCCTCATTCACTAAAATTTCTAGGAAACATTTCTCAGTTTGAGAAGGGGACAGTGGTAACTCATTAGCTTATATTGTATGTCATTAGTTATTAATGAGATTGAACTTTTTAATATGTATTTCTTGGCTGTTACACTTTGGTAAGTTGCCCATTTGTTTCATTGCCCATTTTTCTATTGAGCTATTTGGATTTTTTCTTATGGAATTAAAAGAATACTTTAAATATTAAGCACATTTGTTTAGGACTGGAGGTGTGGCTCAAGTGGTAGAGTACCTGCTTTGCAAGCTTGAAGCCCTGAGTTCAAACCCCAGTCCCACCAAAAAAAGTCAAACCCCAGTCCAATCAAAAGAAAAACTGAAAAGTATTTGTTTACCATATACATGACATACATTTTCCCTGTTTAATTGTTCAATTTTGCTTTACTCAGTTGATATTTTAAGATGTATTTCTATTTCTGAAATTAAATAAGTCTTTCCTTGTGCTGTCTTTGTTGTTGGGCTTTAAAAATACCAGCAACCCAAAGATGGTACAGATATCTGTATTTTCATTTGGCATTTTTATAAATATAATTTTTATACTACAGCCATTAAATCATGAATTCTGTGAAAATAATGTGGAAATGTATCATAACTTTTTTCAAGAAAAATTAGCTTACTTCATTTCTAGATATTTTCAATGTCTAAGAATTCCCAAAACAATGTTAAATGATTGTATAACTAACACTACCTTATTTTAAATAGGTTTTTATTTTAATAAAGTGATCATGAGTGTGTGAAGCTATAAAGATGGCTACTTAATTCTTGTTTGTGATTGTAATACATAAACACCAGCAGTAAGAATAACAGAACATCCATGCAATGGATGATCTATACCCACTATCATAAGTCACATTGCAGAATAATATTCAATACTAAAAAGAAATGTTCCTGACATACCATTTTTTAATTAAGAAATGTTATACTAATTTTACATTTACAATAGATGACTCTAAATGTTTGTGGACATGGAATGCTAAATTTAGATGGCTATTTCTTGTTAATGGAACTGTAATTTTTATTTTCTTTGTGCTTTCCTGCATTTTCCAAATTCCCCACAATGCATATGTGTAGCTTTTGTAATCAAAATATGCATATCAACACACAATAAAATATACTTATTCTTTCTAAGGAATAATCATATTATTTCTAAAAGTTTCATTTTTAAAATTTTTGTACCTGAAATGAGAAATTTTATCGAATGATTTTGTCAGCTACCCTTTGAGGGGTCATGTGGTTTTTCCCACTTGACCTATTGATCTGATGTGTTATAGTAATAGGTTTCCTAAAAAGAAATTATCCTTATCATCCTGAACAAAGCTCTACTGAATTATCCCAGGTTAATTTAATCTTGAGACAGCCTTGAGCTCCCTCTTCCTACAAGTTGGGAAAAAAGCAAGGGCCTTCAAATGATTATTTTAGCTTCAGTCATTGGTTTATTTTTTTTTTTAACAGGGCAGGGAAACATTTCCATAGTTTCTATTTAGTTGTTAGTAATTTCACCATTCTTTTACAATGATAGAACATCACACACAACAATGCTAATTTGATCAATAAATAAAAAACAATAGCTCCTTTCCAGTAGTCTCAGAGCAGACATTTAGCTTAGAGAAAACACTCACTATAATTATTTCAAGTGCTTTGAATATTTTGTTTTTCTAACATAAAATATGAAACACATACTTGGAATTAATTTGCTTAAATTTAACCTTATAATAATCAGTTTATACTTTCATATTTTACCTTCAACATACATTGGGTACATTGAAAACACAAATTTTTATTTATTTATTTTGCTCTTGAGACAGGGTCTTGCTGATATAGCCCAGGCTGTCCTCGAATTCATGATCTTCCTGCCTCCTACATGCTGGAATTACAGGTGTGCAACACCACACCTGGCTTAGTTTATTATTTTATAAAACAATTTAACACATGCTTCATATCAATGGATAAGAAAAATTAAGTAATTGCATGCCCACAAAATGGTGGGGCCAGAAAAAGAACTTAGTCTTTTATGGAAAATATCTTCTACCACCCAGACAACCACCACCCAGCGGCCCTTGCCATTGGTTTGGGATTGCCAATGTGTTATTGTCCTCATCCCTCCCCTCCCCCCCCACACTTTACTCTCTGCAGGTGAGAAGACCTTTTGCATGATCTAATGTACCAATATCACTGTCTTAGCCTGGAATTGTTTGGCTCTGATAAGGTCTGGGTAGTTCATAGAAGGGAGGAAGTCTGGTTACCACACAGAGGACATTGACAAGAACCCAATCTGTGGTGGGGTCTCTGGGGCCCTTCTCCAGCCTCTGCAGTGACAGACACGCAGAACACCCATAAGTAGAGGGTATGGTTAACCAAGTCCTGCCCTTAAAGAAAGATGCCCTCATCCAAAATGACTTACATTTTGGTTCCATCCATCTGCTCATCTACCCCCAATATCCACACACTTCTAATCCTCACCCTTCTTGGGTTTTATCCTGGCTCCAAAAGATTCTGGAGTCTGTCTTTCCTAATAAGCTCCTTCTGACCAAACCTACCATATCATGTCCACAGACATGAGCTCTAGGTGGGTGTCCTGGTCCTGGTTTCCCTGAGACATCCAGCTTACACCTGGGGTCCCAAGGTCACTGTTAACAGTACCTTCCTTACCCTCACACACCACAGTGACCATGAAGAGCCCATGGGGTAGGGAGGAGATATCTAAGTCCAAGGTTTAGGATCAAAGCCCTCACAGCCTCAGTCATTCCATCAGAAAAACTTGCTCGTTCTACATTCAAAGTACATCTAGAGTCTGACCATTTGTCTCTGGCCCACAGCTCCCACTGGGATTCCTCTAACCTAGATTACCCTGTGTGTCCTTCTTCAGGCATCCATTTATTTTAGCCAAAGTCACCATTTACAGCATTGGTTAAAGAATATCACCTGTCTGCTCAGAACCTACAATCCTCCCCGTGGTTCTTAATAGAAATGCTCATGCCCTCCCAGGAACCTACAGTTCACAATCTGCACCCTATAGACCTTGGCCGCTGCCCTTATTCTCTGACCTCATCCTTTCTGGTTCTCATTCCCTAGTTCTGTCCCACCATGCATACCTCCTGCTATTCTGCACATTCACCAAACATGCCCCCCTTTGGCCTTTGTGTGCATGAACTCCTTTACCTCGAATGCTCTTGCCCTAGAGATCTACCTACCTAACTCCATTTCGTCCTCAGTCCTTGCTCAAATTTCACCTGCTTCATGAAGTCACTCTGACCACCTTATTTAAAGCTGAAACACTTCTCACAAACTTTCTCCCTCACCCCATTCTATTTTTTTCCTCAAAGAACTAATATTTTTCTAACAAGTTACATACTTTCCTTATTTATTAAGCTTATTTTCTCTCTCCCCATCCATATGACTTGGATTTTTATCTGCTTCACTCACTGATTTATTTCAAATACCTAGTATTATTTATTTTAAATACGTGGTATTAGAGCATTATGCACTCAGCATAACAAATGATCAATAGATATATTTATTGAAAAATAACCCCCTCAATTAATTTTCCTGAGCCCAAATGCACTCTCTGTGAGCTTTTGACTTGGTGTCAACACCACATTGTGAACTGGTCTTAGTGACACATTTAGGAAACTCCACTGTGGTGGTCTTGGGGAGGACCTCTTTGTCATTATTTACAACTCAGTTATGAGTGGAGAAAGCAGTGAAAAGGCAAAAGGAACCTCTTCACATTGATGTGTCTAGCCGACTGAGATGTTTAAGCATGATCTCAGTGGGCCGCCTGCCCACCTTCTCCTCTGTGCCTGGAGAGGGAGAGCCATATTAATGGGGACAAATGCCCAGCTTGTACCTGTGGCTTCATGTCCTCTTCGTCTTTGTAGTAGTAGAGTTGCTGGGCCCTCAGTACAAAATACCTCTGCTGCCAGTTTTTCACGATAGACCTCTGCTTCTTCAGCCAGCCCATCTTGATGGGCCTTTCCAGAGGATTGGGGGTGGATGATGGGTGAAAGGCCGCCATCTGCTCACCAGTCATCATACTCCTTGTCCGAGCTATAGAGAGAAATAGACAGGCTGACTGATTGAAGGACATGGAACAGTGAGAAAAAGTAAGTGGGGAGAGGAGAGAGGAAGCCCCAGGGTGCCGAGAAATGGGTTGGGGCCCAGCCAGGTCCAGTTCAAGGGTTCAGGGACAATCCCCCAGGCTCCTGAGAGGAACTGGGGGTCCTGCTCCTGACCAGGGCTAGACCCAGATCCACGCACTTGCAGTCCAGCAGCTGTCGCCGGCCCCCACATTCTGCAAAACGAAAGATTGGCTGGAGCCTGCTGAAGAGGAAGTGGCCGCAGCATCTGACAAAAGGTGCTTCCTTTTCCTGCGGGGGAGTTAGTATCTGACAAGAGAGAGGAGAAAATAATGCCTCCCTGGGTGAGTCCCACGCAGCTGCAGAGGCTACCGGAAGCTGCCCTGGCTTTCTTCCATGGCTACCCATTCTCAACCCCTTATCCAGTGGACCCCATAAATCCCCCAGCTTCCATCCGTGCAGTCCGCCTACAGGGAGTTGGCACCTCCTGAATTTTCCTGTCATGTGTCATTGAGTGCCCTGCTACCTAGAGTGTTTAAAGAATTTTATGCTGGACAAAAGGGCCTCGGGTAGCACCTTCCCAAGATAATACCTTTGTAGTCTGTTACTGCCAACAGACCTCACTCAAAATCAAGACTTAAAGCTAGTCTGCTCTGCCCCTCACATGGTATAATTAGCTTGTGTCCTACCACAAGAGTTCTGCTTATCATCCCATTGGATCCTGACCAGCGAGCCCATGTTTCTTCTCCATGGTGACTCCCACCTTGTACAACACTGCTTCTCTTACCTCCATAGCCACCCATCCACCACTCTGGTCTCCATTCAATACTTTCTTCTGATGCTGCCTTCCTTCTCTCCCAGCCAGTTCAATATTGAACCTAAAACCACATTAGAGCTCTTTGGCTCCTTGACCTCTGCTGATGCTCCACACTTGCTAATACCCAGTGTTTGCATTCCTTTGTGCCAAGAGTTACTGGAGGCAGCCTCCATCCTACAACCCTTTTATTCAGCTTCTGTCCATCTTTGGAACATTTATAATTTAGCTGAACTAAGCCATTAATCTATTCTCACCCCATTTCACCTCACCTGATTAGAGACCAATTCTTCCTTTCCTGTTTTTTTTTTTAACCATGGATGAATTATGCAACTTCTCTGAATCTTTTCTCATTTGTTAAAGTAGATTAATAATAGTCCCTACTTTATGAAGTTAAGGCAGAGATTAAACAAACTAACATACACAAAACACTTAGCACAGTATTTTGTCAAAGGGAAGCATATGTCACTATTATTTATGTCAACAAGTGACTTTATTTCCTATTACAAAAGTATATTCTGGTCATTCAGAGCTTCCTCAACTTCTCTCTTCTTCAAAATGTCACTCCATCATCAAGTTTTCTTCCTTCCCTCATTCCTATCTTTAATTCACTTAATTCCCAACTTCTCTCCATTTCTTCTTCTTTTTTTTTTTTTTTGGTGGTACTGGAGTTTAAACTCAGAGCTTTGAGCTTGCTAGGCTCTACCATTTCAGCCATGCCTCCAGCCCTTCCCACTGCTTTTGATTCCTGTCTTTCTCCTTCAAGGACTAGGATTCTCAGTCTTTATTCATGCTTATGTCATACTTTCAAATGCTAGAAGTTTGTAGGGAATGAGTCTTTCTTCCACTGACTCCAATTGTATCCAGTTATCATCCTATTTAATGTTCCCCCCTTCAGTGCTTAGAGCTATTGGAAGAGAAATCTTCCCTAACTGGGCTCCCTTGACCTTCACAAAGGATCTGTGCTCTGTAACATACCCTTATATTTGACTTCCAGCTTTCAGTCCTTAATTCCCACCAGGGAACTGGAGAGGTTGCCAGATATATTTGACTTAATCTGCCATCAAACAGACAACAATTACAAAAGTGCATTTATTCAATTGAAGTAAAAAAAAATCTGATATTTTTGATGAGCATCTGGCAGTATACTTCAGAGAGTTCACTTTATATCAGTGTGTCCTGGCACCCCAATAAAAACTTTATACTCTAAGACTGTGTAATGATCCAAAGGAACCACAGAAGGGTGTTGGCAGGAGTGCAGTGGGGAGGAGGGAATTTGAAGGACTCTATGCAGCTCTGTATCTCTCTAGGTCAGAGAACATACTTTGCAAAGACTTTATCTGTACTAGGAAAGAGGGTGGACATAGAAATAAAAAGTGTGGTTCACACAAAAAACTTTTGGCGAAAACGGGAGAATGGCATTTTACTCCACTTTAATGGCCTCAATGTAACTCATTCCAGTACGACTTTTGTGACCACCCAATTGAAGCAACATCATACAGAGAAGAGAGGGACCCCTTCTTGCTGCAGTAAAATGAGGGCCTCCCAATGGCTTCTGGGCTTCTGAGGTTTCACCAAATGGAGTCAGTACAGGAGAAGGTGCCACATGGTAGCTATGAAGTCTCAGGTTGTTTGGGCCATCAGAAAATGGTCTCTTAGGATCATTGTGGGAGACAGAAGAAATGGGAGGTCTCCAGGAGCATGAAGACGTGCAGTGGAGGTAGGAAGCAGCCAATAAGATACTATAGATTGAAGGGAATTCTCTCAGCATAGAACTCAGCTGCTGGGGTATTATTTTGCATTTAGTTCTGGGAAATTTTTCATGCTTTATCATGGCAAAAACAACAATAACCAAAACAAAAGCATCCTCCCTAGTAGCATCTGTGCCTTGCAGAATGGGCTGGCAAAGGCAGGAGTAGGTGTGAGGACCTGGTGTTCTCAGATGTGGTTAAAAGGGAGCTTGATGACCTTGGGACAGGAAGGCAAGCACCTGTCTGTCTAAATATGACCAAGGCCTTGATTATGTTATTTTACATTCTAAAATGATACCACTTGCCCTGCATCCAGCCAGTGTTTCTTGAGTGCTTGTTATCATCCCTCCATGGTTGGTATGACTACAAACCCAGGGCCATCTGCTACAAGTTAGAGGATGTGGATGGATCAGCACAAACCTCCACACTGCTGGAATTAGGTCCAAACTGGGGGATAGGGTAACAGCTGGGGACTCAGTGAAACAGTGATTAAATAGGGGAGCTTTCTGCCCCACATGCTGCCATCTTAACTCTCAGTACTGCTCATAAGTCAAGCCTTTCACAAGCTGATCCAACTATGGGAGAAGAAAGCCTGGCAGGCCTTGGTTTTGACAAACTTTTCTTGTTAGTTTCTTTGAACAGTCTCTCTTCTTTGTGGATATGACTTTTTGGGAATGAAATAAACAAAGAGATCTGTTACTACCAATGGAGTGTTCTCTCATACTGAAAATAATAACCAGGACAAGCTTTGCTGTGAGCCAGTGATTGTGTGCACAGTGTATGTTCCCAGCCCTTTGGGAAGCAGATCTGAACCAGGCATGGGCTGCTGAGGGGGCTGCAAGTGAACCAGGGAGGCAAGGTGAGAAGGCAGTTGCTCAGTGTTTACCGAACACTCTGGAGCGAGTGAAAATGTGGGTCTCAGTAAGACCAGAAACCTACCTGTACTCACCCTAGCCAGCACTGTGCTAGCCAGTCCACTAGCCAAAGTGGCTGTGTCCAGTTAAATGAATGAAAATAAACTAAATTAAGCTAAAACTCATTTCCTCGGTCATCATCCACATGCCAAGTATTCAGTAGCTTTGTGTAACAGATGACTGCAGTGTTGGACATCACAGAAGAGAGCATTTCCGTCATTGCAGAGGATTCTGTTAGTCAGCACTTCCTGGAATCTGAGTGCTAGCATCAAAGGCATGGGTCTCCCTAGGAGGTATTTCTCCCCTCAGCTCTCAACTCTGTCTCCTTCTAGGCTCTACTTTTAGATGGCTGTGAATGCATGGGGGGACATGTAGGTAGCATTCAGAGATGGAGATCTATTGAAAGTATTTTTTAAATGTGTTGATCCGAGCTGTTCATTCATTTGGGAACCATGTCGAAATGAATTTGAAAAGGGAGGAAAAGGTCTGGTGTCACCCCCCAATACTTCTCTCCTGAACTTCTGACATGTCCATCCAGCTGCTCGAATGTACTATGGTGTGATTTTCAAGGTCACCACATTGCTAGTCAAACTATCATCCCCCTCTCAACTGTTACTATTCCCTTGTCTTGTGCCAACAAACACACCCCAACATGCTTTCCCTCCACTGGTGTCTATGATGTGCTATAAGTGACATCCTTCCAGCCAGCCAACCATACCATAAAGCTATCCTTCCTACACTCAACCCAGACAACAGTGCTTAGAGTGTGATCTTGTTTGATCCTCCTGTGACCTCAACACCTCCTTCCTATAAGTTGGAGGGTAAACTCCCAACTGGAGTCTGGAGTCCTTGTGGCTTTTCCCACTGCATTTCCTGCTCTTCCTCCATTCCCATTTTGCACTCAACTGTTGACAATATGTATTTCTCCCCACCCACACCAGAGTGGGAGTCTATCTCTTGAGCAACTAACTCTTGCTCACTCTTTGAGATGCACCTCAGGCCATGCCTCTGTGAGAACACCTACACCCTCCCAGTGCAGCCATACTTGACTGCCTTCTATCTCTGTCCCCTAGGACACAAGTGCATTGTAGCATGTATCACCAGGCTTGGTAATTTTTTTCTGTAGTTCCTCTCCATTTTCAATCTAAGAAGTCAAGGGTGCTGCCTTAGTGTATTGGCCTTGCTCATCTTTGTATCCTAGCACTTAAATGCACCTAATGAAGAGAAGGCAAGTAAAGTAGATTCCCATCTACAGCCATGGCTAAGTCAAGGTCTATCTCTGAGAACTAGTTTCCTCCTCTGTGAAACTGTGAGAGCCACATGTGTCTTGTAGGGTAAATAATCATTAGGATTAGTGGGAAGGTTCCAGCTAGTGCCTGCCTCTTAAAACACAGTCACCAAATAGAAGATATTATTGTTAAAATTATTATTGTAACATGGAGTGGATTTTATGTTAAATGAAGGAAGGAAGAAATTATGGATGAAAGGAGGG